TAATTATTTGATTTTATCATTAAGATATCGCTTAAATCCACCACCAAAAATATTATTGTACGCCATTTAATATTTCACAAATTATGGGTTCGATGGCCATTGAACAGGTTGATAGATATCTCTAACGCAGACTTCAATATCACTATATTCAGTTCAGTCTGTATGGATTCCATGGCCTCTGTCGCGGTTGATGTACATTATTGACAAATCACGCGTACAAGAAGTACTCAGAATCCGGAAGTGTGAAATGAGACGTGACTATGTTTGGATGTTTGTTCGTCCACATTCCTATCTCTTCGCCTGATTATAAATTCGTACAATAGAAGGCGATAACATATGGGCTATAGTTCTGCTCTGGAACATCGAAATAATAAGAAAAAGCACATAACTGTTTATTTACGATGAAGGTCAATTTTAAAATAACGTTTAGATCCTTTAAAACATAAATCAGCTGCCGAGTGGGTATTAATCTTATGCAAACTTGCTCGATTCGTTTTAGTGCCCATACGATTGTTACTGAACGAATGGATTTCGGACTTCAAATACGCTATATGCATATATATATACACTTCCGAATGCTATAAAGCGAAATTCAAATTAAATTTCTACTGATAAAGTTTTAGTAATTAAAAAACCTAATTTGATAATCTTGTTAGTTAAGCATTACTTATTCTGTCAAACAAAGCAAAAAGGATTTAAGTAGCATATACTCTACCGAATGCCATATTTGAAAATTTGCTTTCGGAGGAGTTAATATTTTTAGCAACTGATCGATTTCGTTGGATTGCCTTTAACTTAACTTCAATTGAATAGTTATGATCTATTAAATCACGCAGTTAGAGAAGTTCCTTTGGGGAAAAACCATTATAAGAACAAATTAGTTTATCAGAATGGTTTCTTTCTACCGCATTTGCTCAAGATAGGAGTTCTTTCGAACTTCATTTTCCGTGGTCTTAAAATGTAAATTAGAAATTCTGTCTGTGTGCACAATTATTGGACCCAAGGAATCTTTTGTCATCAAATATCGATCGTTTTGGATAATTGGGCATATTAAGATTTGAGACGGGGGAAATATTTCTGTTACAACATAATGGTCTCCGATAAATCCACATGGCCCAGCCTAATTCAACAATTAGGCAAGAATTTTAGGTACTAACCTGAAGTATTACCCATCCCCCCGTCATCTTTCTGTCTATAAAAAATCTTGGCGATCGTTCGAGTTTTCATGGACTCTTATGATTCCTTTGTTTAAATCTGAATTCAGGTGATTTAATTTGAAAGGTTCATATGTGTAGCTTACTCTTGGTTGGCCAATTAGAGTTCATTTTGTGTCCAATAAAAATTTTCTTTTAAACTCTTCAGTTATTTACCCCTTTCTTATATGCCCAATGCAGATATCTATAATTAGGGAAAGAGGGGTGTGCGATAGACTTACCTCCACGTGGTGCACCCTGGGCAACGTATACTCATACGGCAAAAAAGTCTATTAACTGGCAGTTGACTCCTGACTTCAAAATCTCATGGCCTACCGCAAGTCATATTCGATCCCTTCCACAGTACTCACCTTTACTTTTTCTCTACCTTTGTGTCTGTCTACCTCTTTTACATCTGTGAATCGCTCTTCTGTTCCCCACCCCTCGAATTTCTGCTACTTTGATGAACCTCCTCTCTGTGAAGCCCGAAGTCAGCTAAATGGCTAATGATAGTTATTAAAACGCCTGCCATTTGAAATAAATAAATGATCCCATAAATAAATAAATAATTAGGGAAAGATGTCGAGGCTATTATGGTCATCTCCATACTGCCAGTGAATTGGACACTCAAAAAATCTCATTCAAAGAATGGATGAAAAGTAGGCCTCCAAATTATCTACAGCAGAATAGGATTAAGGAACCCATAAAAGGAAGTAGCGATGAAGATGACACAAATGCGTGAGTTTTGAATTTTTTTAAATGGAGAATTAAGTCTTTTCAAGGCAGAATCCTGCGATTTGGAAAAACACTGATATGACATAATTGACCTTTGAATGAATCCAATGAACCGAGGGAATGTAATTTTTTTCAAAAATTCCTTTTCCTCTATCATGAATTCACTTTCTTGAAATCACTTTTAGATTTAAAACACGATAAGGGGTCATTCAACCTATTTTTCTTTTTGTAAAATAGTTTCTTGATAACGCAGAAGAAGTTTTTATTCGCAAAAAAGCCGTCTGTCTCCATCACCTTCGGGTCCAGATAGTTTGTTTAAGTTAAGGTAATTAACCTTGACAAGTGTCAGCACTTACTGCGTTACGATGGTGGAAGTGAACAATTAGTATTAACAGTATTTATTTATTTATTATGCAATAAAAAAGCGAAAAATAACCGAAAAAAGCAACAAATTTGAAGACATTATCCATTGAGTTGCCGTCAACAATAGGTCCCTGCAACCCAAATCTGGAAAAGTAAAGATGTTTAGATAAATACTCCAGTTCATGAAGTTGTACTTGGGGGAATAAGATTTTGGAGATTGTGAGCACTTTTAAAATTTTAATGGAGTTAGGCAATATTAAGAAAATTAAGGACATAAAGTGAAATATAGCTCCATAATCTGTCATTCTACAAAACCGTTGGCCAATTGGCCGAGTTCCATATATGAACCCTTCACGTGCAACTCAGTTTTTCACAAAGGACCAGCTATTACAAGATGCTTTACTAATTTGACAAAAGCCACCTAGTCAGATATCAGTATTCTTAATGGAATTGGCTCTTGGGGGTGTATGAGCCGTCGCAGAGACGAGACACTTTGTCTTGACTTGGTGCCGAGACGTCTATGAGGAACGTCTGAAGTCAACTTGAGAAATTCCCCATATCGACGCTAAGTAAAAAACAATGGCGTCTGATCAAAGTTAGTTTGAAGGCGCTGACTACCCAACCAAGGTAAACTTTGTAATGGAGGAGTTTCTTTCTCCTCTCTGGAAGAAACATCCGATCTAGGTTGGTTATACGACTTGATATGTTGGAAAATAGCAACCGACAATGGTACGTCGAAATGAATACTTTTAAAACGATACCCTCAGAGGACCACTACGGTTGGCTACTAAGATGCATTTAAAGCTTACCTGAACACTGCAAGAAGACAGAACTTGCCACTATCTTGTCAACGACCTGTATTGTGAAGAGTTTCGCATAAAAATCTTTTACAATCGGGCTTCACTTCTCTCACGCAAAAAACCTCTCGAGGACTTCCTGGACATTTCATCATAACATTTTCCATTTCTGATAACTAGACTCCAAGGCAAGATAAAGTAGATCACAAGAAGATCATATTTGGTAAGCGACTGAAGTCACGCGAAACCTTCTTCTACGAAGGTTGAAAGGGAATGATTTTACGAAACTATTGATTTTAAAATAGGATTGTAGTGTTGCATTTAAAGGCTATTTATGTTTTAACTTTTACTATTCGTCTTTGGAATAGTAAACGAATTCTTGGTTTCAATATTCAGTTATTTCGCCAAATTGAGTAAGTTGGTTGGCAAATTTTACCGCTCAACTTCTTTTTACTTTTAAATTAAGAAAAAATAGAATTATCTGGCTAGAACAAGCGCGTAATTTACATTGGATTAAAGTAACATTACTTTTTGTAGTTTCAAGTACAGAAATTTCTTTTAGATGAGTAAAGTGCCAAAATTATTATTAATGACATTCTTGAAAAAAGGTGTGCGTTTTGTAATTGTGAAATGCATTTGGCATCAACGAGCAGAGAACTAATAAGACACAAAGAGTAATTAAGTTATCAGTAAGTCTTAATTCCTTTGAATTTGGAACAGAGATGTAGAGAATTCGCTAAATTTGCAGCCCAATTCCAAGATTCAAGTTTCAGGTTTAGGTTCCTGGATTTCAACAAATGCCTTTATACTATATTCAGTGCTTATGGGGTGTGCGCTAGACTTACCTCCACGTGGTGCACCCTGGGTAACGTATACTCAAAAGACTATTAAACGGCAGTTGACTTCTCACTTCAAACGATCATCGCCCCATTGTATGCCATATTCGACTATTTTCACAGTACTCACATAACCTTTGTGCTTGTCTCTTACATCTTTGAAACACTCTTCTGTTCCCCCCACCCCTCTCGACTTCTTTCAATTCAACGTTCCTTCTCTGTGAAGCCTGAAGTCTACTAAATTGCTTATGATAACTAATAAAACGCCTGCCACTTGGTATAAGTAAATAAATATTCATTTCTTATTAATCTAAGTGGTTCCAATCAGGAAGGGTAAGCTTTGTCACGTTGATTCGTCTTTTCTTCAAAGGCAACTAATCTTTCAAGGTATTATGCAATTTATGCGAATTTTTCCGCCTACGATTTATTTAATCATACAAGAACCGAGAAGGCTGTGCTTGATCTCATTTGTCTGTGAAAGTCATTTAACTATCAAATATTATCACGGTTTACTTATTATTTCATCATATTGATCTGTGAATAATATAAACTCTAGTTGACTTGTGGGTCAAATTTTTGGATAATGCACTCCCAGCTATCTACAATCACTCAACTATACTTAGAGAGCTCGTCGATTTCAGTAGAATAAATTGATTGGAAGCTGAAAGTTATTATTTTGAATTACGAACTATATATCTATTAGTAGGAAAAAATTTGTGATAAGTTGTCTTCAAGTCATATAAAATGAAACACGTTAACTCAAATGCAAGAAAATTTCAGGTTCTATCAAGGCGACTTGGGCATTAACTTCAAAATTTCATCCTAATTAAATAAAATAAACAAATCGATTTGTCCTCGAACACTCTATTCTACCTTACTCAGTTACCTATGAAGCAAAAATGCTTTGTTTATTGTATGCGGTCATAGGTGTCTTTTTACATTCCTTTTAATAAAAATATGTTTGATATTTACGAGTAAAATTCATCAGCCCTGAAATTTCATTCCAAAATTTTTACAATTAGAGAAGTATAAGTGCATTCATTGTATACATTTTATGCAGTTGGTGTACACTGGGTTCATTGTCTATCGGTACACGTTGTGTGAGATAAATACCCAACAAGTACAAAAGGAAGGAACATTCGAGAACGCAACCACAGGGCCAAAATTATGCCCCAACCGATACGAACCACAATAGCTGCGGTTGAGACCACAGGGGCAGTGATGACCGAAACAGAGACAACAATCGCCGCAGACAAAACTGAGAAAGTGGCAGAAGGTAGAGACCACAGTGGAGAAATCACTTGATACTCTAGATTGCGAAAGTGAGACACCCCGACTGAGCCACTTTCGTCACAGAGACAGAGAGGAATGAGGCAGAAATAAAAACCAATGCCGCCTAAACTTATACAGTAATAGACACCATGGAGACTAAAGGAGCAGCATAGTTCGTGTGCGTCTACGTGAGGTCATCCGGCACGGCATCTACAGCCATTTCATCGATATATTAACAGCATTCGCCCCCATTGCTTAACCTTCGTGTGTTGAGAAAGCTAGCATTGGAGTGTCTGATAAGCCTGCGATGGCACGTATATATGCTTTAATGGAATTGAAGAGACAATCACCTATAACCTGATATACTTGCAGACTGTTAGGGGCAACGAAGTTTCCATGCCTCTATGATGCACAAAGAGGGTGTGTGGGATGGACTTACCTCCTCGTGGTACACCCTGGGGAACGTATACTCATACGGCAAAAAAGTCTATTAACTGGCAGTTGACTTCTCACTTCAAACAACCATCACCCCCCCTGTATGTCATATTCGACTCCTACTCATCTTACCCTTTCTGAGCCTTTGTGTCTGTCTGTCTCTTTTACATCTGTGCATCACTCTTTTATTCCCCCTCCCAAATTCTTCTCACTTTGATGTACCTCCTCCCCTCTGTGGAGCTTGAAGTCCACTAAAGGACTAATGATAGCTATGAAAACGCCTGCCATTTGTTATAAATAAATGATGCACAAAGAAAATTAGATCAATCTACTTTGACGATATCATTGAGTGGGTGAGATCAAAACTGAGTCAAGCTGAGACTAACATACTTAAAAAATGGGAAAGCTCTAACTTGTTGAGCTGTGAACGATAGATGTTTATTACTTTACAATGAGAGTACCAGTTATCGTGCTTACGGCAAGGTTAACGAATTGATAAGTATTCCTTTCTCTAGACGTTTCTTAACCCAGACATTCCATTTTTACAGTCAATCAATATAATCAACCTATTTTTGGCTAGTGAATGCTCTACCTATTAGATATATTCAGAGGCTTAACACTTCTCATTTTTGGATTATATCTGGGGCCTAACCATCCGAAGAGTCATTAGTTAGAATTTTATTAGAGATAAGGCACACAGTGTACTAGAATATAAGTGTTTGATAGTAAATAGCAGGAGAGATAAGAGAACGCGAGTATACCGCAATTTCACGTCGATAGTGTGTCACAGGTTGCCCATTTGGGGTAATTGATAACATCCCCTAAACATTGGACGTTGATTGGCTCTTCCTTCATGTAAGGAGTGGTTTGAAGATTATTAGTGAGTTAAAAGAAGCAGTAATTCTAGCGGGTTGGTGAAGACATAAGTTCGTATACACGGAACTTATAGCAGTGTAGTATTGCGTACAGTAAAGTAAGATAACGTAGGTGTCGATTAAGGAGTTTACTTTGTTGTTTGAGTGCATTTTATTCACAAATGCGCTTATTTATTTTTGTGGTCTATGATCAGATTTCTCCCATAAGCCCGTTCCTACGTACCCATATTTACGCATTTTATTGAAGTTTATTTACTTCTTTTTACCTCCAAACACGCAGGAATGATTTTTTTTTCAAGGTGAACTTGAGAAGGAAAATCACAGTAAATTTGACAGGATGGGTGCACGTGAAGACAATGGCATTTCTCAAATGAAGCACAAGAAAACAACTGCTTTTATCCGAATGACAAAAATTTTAAAATTTCCCATGGTCTTATCTAACCACCCTTTTGCTGTGCTTTCATTTATTCACTTAAACCGAGATTCTAGATCCTGGTATTCGACTTTAACGTTGTCGCATAGTTGTATTACTTCATACTGAAATAAAATTAAACGAGAGTATATTTAGTGTTCATTCTCAGTCTTAATTTAATGATCTGGGAAACATTATTTTATATTTTTAGTCATGACGAATTCGTAGAATTTCTTCAACGATGACGCATTTAGGGTGAAATTACAGATAAGTCGACATATTGTGAAGTGACAAAATGTTTTGAATAGTTTTTAAAAGAATAAAATGAGATTTAGGAAGTATTAGTGCGTAAAGAGGGTGGAAGGAAGTGACCATCTTGCTACAACGGTCACCAACTCCTGACCAGTAGGAAGGAGTGTGGTTAATGTGATTTCTTCACTCATCATGCACTCACTTATCGTACCTTAGTCTGCTCCAAATTGCAAAAGAATTTCTCCGATTTTAATTATAGAAAATGCCAATTATAAAAAGTACTTGATTTTATATTATCTGATCCACTCTCCCTTTAGCTCTCATCTTTAAATGCCATTAGAAATTCACAGACACCCACGCAGGATTGATCATTTTTTCCGGAAATGGAATTCTGGATTTATGAGATACTTTCACATTTGCCAGCCTGTATACTTGCAAACTGGGATGGTTATTGCACAACTGAACGACTCATTAGATGTTAGATGGGCCAACCAACGAATAACTGGGCACACAGATAGAAGTAACACGGTAAAATCAGAGCCTTAAATCTCTGCCTCACTCACAGCCCACCAGTACTACTACTACTGTATTGTACAAATAAAAGCTCATTCAACAAATGTAAAGATCATGTTTTTGCAACAGAAAGTGGTGAACGTTGTACCCATCTCGACTACAACGTCACTCTCCAGTTGGTTATATCACCTTGATTTAATTTGTTTTCATACAGTTAAGAACACGTGAACGAGACAAGAACTATTTTTATACTCAGGGGAGCCTACTTGACTTCATTCATCAAGTCCTGCCATATTTTCCACATTTGCAATACCATAGGTTTACTATTCCTCATGATTAGTAGACTCATTGATTGCGATATTGAATCTTAGCAAAAGGCATGGGCTGTCAAATTTCTGGCAAATTCAATGCACCTAGATTTATAACAGCGAAAATAAGATCACGTGTATAAGTAAATAGATTCCTGAGTTAAAATTTGCATACCGCAGTGGCTTCAGCATAGGGAACACCAACTAAGTTGCATTGGTATGAAATTGACAACTAATAATGAGAGGGTAAATACGATTTAAGCTTATCAGTATGTAAAGCTAATGGGGTGGAGGCTTTGGTACGAAGCAATCGAATTACTGGAGTGTGGATTTTAATGAAAAAAATTGTATTTAGTGGGTTGACTACCCACACCAGTGAAAATTTAAAGTTTTTGCTGTGGGAAGATTCCGAAGATTCCGAACAATGGAATTTAAAAAAAGAACAGGAGGAGATAGAAGTTGTAAATAAATTCAGATATCAGCAGAGTTGTATATAGTCATAATAAATGAGCAACTTCATACCTTGTTCCAGCCATAAGCGGTGAAAATATAAGGTCACCATCTGGCGAATCAATTTTGAAAGTTTAAATCCAATAATTTTAGCATTTTAACATCCCAGTTACTTCTTTATCGACCTTCCCATATATTAATTAGGTCAAAATTGGAAATAAAATCTATTAAGATTCTTTATTTAAGCATTTTAATGAAGGGAGAATTACCTCCAATGTTATTGCTATTGCCATTAGCAAGGTGGTAAAAATTTAAATTTTTGTTAAATGGAAAGGGAATTGAATTAAGGAAGGAGCAAGCCAGTCGAATTACGTGGAAGGCTAGTGCAGAATGAGACAAATTATGGGCTTATGACATTACGTGACATGCTTTGATTAGATTCCGAGCGACGTCGGGTTTTTCATATCCTCACAAGGAGTGTAATTCAAAGTGTAATGTTATTATTACCATTATTTCTCATAGTATTAGAAAAATGGAAAAACACAATTGTGAAGAGTAATTGAAATTGGTTTAAGGAATGCACAATGAAAGACGTGGGAGATTTATTTTATGTGATTTTTGGACTCGGGTTGAGCAACATTTATCAAAGTGAGCCGTTTTCGCTCCGTAGTTCAATGTCTCGTATTTTTGTCCTCTGAATAGCAGGAAATGCTTGTCAATCTTGTTGAGTTGTTGTTGGCAGGCCTTATTTAATCAATGGGAGTTGGTCTTACTGCTTGATTTGTCATTTTTTACCCCGATTGTCTGGAAAGTCTAAATTTACTTACACGTTGCCTATCAGCTTACTTTTCAATACAGACGAGAAGAAATCATTTAAAAGCCAATTGGAAGTTATTCCAAATAATGTAACCACTTTTAAGCGTCATAGATTAAAATATTTTATGAGTCACCAATGCATTGATTGACTCACAGATCTGTTGAGTTGGAAAAGAAGACACCATTACCAATTGATGTGTATCACCTTTGTGTCTATCTCTTTTACATCTGTAAATCACTTTTCTCTTCCCCCTTTCGACATTTTGTGACTTTGTTCCTCCCCTCCGTCAAGCCCGAAGTCAACTAAAGGACTAATGATGATGATCATAAAGTCTGCCATTTGATATAAATAACAAGGGTTGAAAGATTCTTCCTTCAAGTGGAACTGATGATATTCAAAGATTGAGATAGAGTGTCATCCTGTAGATTTGATTATTAGTGAGCTTTGATGAGAGAGGATAAATTTAAATATGGGAATCAATGTATCGACGAAGTCAGCCAGGAAAATTTATTAATTTATTTATATCAAATGGCAGGCGTTTTGATAGTTATCATTAGCCCTGGAGCTGACTTCGGGACTTCACGAAGAGGAGAAGGGACATCAAAGTGACAAAAAGTCGAGATGGGAGACAGAATAATGATTCACAGAGGTAAAAGAGACAGACAGATATAAGCCAATTAGTGGCTTTAATAACGTATTTCCTTTGTCTTTCTAATAGTGGACAAAACCTTCATACAATTGTCACAGTCGAATAAGCCATTTATCATACTCACCAATACAAGTTTCGAATTGAGTCGAAACTCCTTAAAGGCAACCTATTTCTTAGTAAGTAGAAAGTGAAGAAATAAATAGAAATTGTAAGGCACCAACGAAAGTTGTTTGACGCCCTCACTTTCTAATCGCCTGCTGTGGTATTCATAAGTCACATGCCTATCT